AAATCCCGGCAAGGGAACACAATTGAACAATTAAATCCCGGCTAGGGTACAACATCAATAATCTCAACATCCCGGCAAGGGAAAACCATCAATAAACAACAATATCCCGGCAAGGGAACAATTTAAATACTCTTTCTCTTCCTTTCACTTTTATTTCATATCTCACTTTACCACTTGAGCCAATGCTCCAAAGGGGTTCAACCATTTCATATACGTTCACAATTGAAATATAACTTGAGCCAATGCTCCTCGATGTTCATAGGTCACAATTTCCTTTCACAAGCTTTTCACAACAATTAGGAATCATCGCCAAGGCAAAAGAAATACAACGAAATCAAGATATTCACAATTTAAAGACTCACGGTCATGCTAGACACCAACGTATAGATACTCGTCACCATGCCTATACGTCGTACTCAACAAGAAATAATTAGCAAATAAGACTCAACTCCTAGTCTTTCACGCTAGGGTTAAACCAAACACTTACCTCAAACTTCCACGGCCAAATCAATCCACAATCACCGCTTTCCCTCTCGAATCCGGCTCCAACCCAATCGAATCTATGCATAATTGACTCAATACCATCAATAAGAGCTAAACAAACCAATTCCTATGTTCAATTACAACTTTCCAATCATTCTTCCCAAAATCCAAAAATCGACCCCGGGCCCGCTTGGTCAAAACACGAGGTTCGGACCAAAACCATATCACCCATTCACCCACGAGCCCGAATATGTAATTTGTTTTCAAATTCGACCCCAAAACGAGGTCTAAATCAAGAAAAATAAAAAAGCCCTAATTCTACCTAAATCCCCAATTTCTACCCTTAATTTCATGTTTTAGGCTTAGGAATTCATTAGATGATGATGGAAAATGAAGAAAACGAGTTAAACAATGTGTACCCAAGAACTTTGGTGAAGAAATGCTTCAATGGACGCCTAAAGACCTTGGAGAAGAAGGAGTTTGTGAAAACTTAGTGAAAATTCCGTAGCTACTGTTCTGGAAATTAAATATAACTGGGCGAAAAATGTTATATGCGATCGCGGGAAAGGGATTGCGATCGCATAGGGTAATGTCTGCTGTGCACTGCGATCGTGGACGTAAGGTTGCGATCGCATAGAGGGAAAAAAAAGGAAGGTTGGCTTTATACAATGCGATCGCGGTGAGTAGAATGCGATCGCATAGAAGGATTTCTGAACCCCCTAGGTTTGCTCTATGCGATCGCGACCCCTCTTATGCGATCGCATAGAAGGAATAACTGGGCAACCAACATCAGCTATTTCTGCAACATTTTTTAGGCTAAAACCATCCCGAAACACATCCGAATCACACCCGAGCCCTCGGGGCTCTTAACCAATCACATGAACTAACTCAACAACATCCTACGAACATAACCATGCGATCAAATCGCCAAAATAACATCAAAAACAACGAATCAAACCTCAAAATCACAAATTTTTCCTCAAACTTTATTAACTTTCAAATTTAGAACTTATAGTCCGAAACACGTCAAACGACGTCCGATTTCAACCAAACTTTACAGAAATATCTTAAATCACATATAAGACCTGTACCGGGCGCCGGAACCAAAATACGGGCCCGATACCAACACGTTCTAATCGATTTTCATTACAATTTTTCCTTAACAATTTCAGAAAAATAATTTTACTCAAAAATTCATTTCTCGGGCTTGGGACCTCGGAATTCGATTCCGGGCATACGTTCAAGTCCCATATTTTCCTACGGACCCTCCGGGACCGTCAAATCACGGATCCGGGTTCGTTTACCCAAAATATTGACCGAAGTCAAATTTATTCATTTTAACATCGAAATTTAGTATTTTTTTTCACAGAATTTCATATTTAAGCTCTCCGGCTACGCGCCCGGACTGTGCACGCAAATCGAAGCGACCAAAAATGAGGTTTTCAAGGCCTCGGAAGCACGGAATGGATAAGAATACAGGTGATGACCCTTTGGGTCGTCACATGCATACACATTATAATTAGGAATAACTGAGGTTATTACGGTATATTCACAGTTTAAAATATTTTTGAGATCATGATATGATATTTAAGTTTAAACAAATTAAAAGTTTGATAAGTTATTGTGAATATTGAGGTCTTCTTGTGATAAACATAATATATTTTTAAACTGCACACTTGACGGCAGAAATGTGAATGATCTAAGTTTGGTGATTTCCCTAAACATATGATTATATATTCATTTATGAGATTATTTACAGGACAAATCGAGATACGTGTTGGTCTCCTATGTAGATGTGTTTTAGCAATCTATGTGAACTATATTGTGGTAATCAATTCTTTAAAGAAATTAGAGAATATAATGAGTGTAAGCGTATTTGTTTCTTTGACAGTACTATATCCTTGGTGTTGCACAAAGTTATTCGTCTGAGTATACTATTATCTCTTTCTCTTTTTCAAGTTTTTAAATTCTTATTTTGTTTAATACATATCATCCGTGCTTTTGAAAAGGATACCCTATGGATGATGTATTCATTAATTACTGAACAACTACATAGGAAAGATTTTTTGGTAAACGAGTTACTGTTTAGTTTAGTTTAATTATTTGTTTACAAAGTTTGGTGTTTCTTTGGAATGAACTTCTAAGTTAGGTGTTTATTTGGAATGAACTTTCACTGAAAATTATTATTCTTTTCTTTGTAGATTTAATATTGCATTCACTGTAAATTTATTTTATATTTTTTTCTAACAACTTACTTGAATTACTCGGTCAAATAATTAGTAATATGTACTTCCACTCTTACTATTTTAAATTATTTTAATATACTAACTAAAATAAAAATAAGTATTGTCCGTGCAAGATGTTAAATTTATTAAGATTGTTTAAAATTATTATTTATTTCAAAGAAGAATGTCAATCTTAACAGAAAGTAAAGAGTTTTTCTTGAACTTTCAAAATTATAGTAGTATTTTTGCTTTGTCATCTCAAGAACCGAAGAGTTAACAAAATTATGTACCTATTAATATGTCAAAAATGCTGCATATTAGGTAAATATGCTTTATTTCATGTTTGTACCTTATAAAAGTGAATAAGTATAAAAAATACATATTTCTAATTAAAAATTAATTTTTTACAGTTGTAGGTTAAACGATCTCAAGTTAACTTGACCTCAACAAACAAGTCACTACATGATAATCCACATTGAATATTTACGTAAACTTGTAGTTTATTCTTTCATGTTTTATTTACTCAAAGTTTTATTTTAATAATATCGATATTATTTTATAAGACTATGTATTACACGACTCGACATACACGTGCGTTGCACGTGCCGAGAAACTAGTACAAAGATAATTGTGAAGGGGGGCCTCTTAAATTTTCCTTTTACATTGAATGTTGATACGATAGTATCGTAAATCACAATTACTAATATTTTTAGATTGTCTCGAAATGACAACTTATTTTATCAGTCCATTTGGTATGAGGAAAATTGTAACAATTCGTATCCAAACAAGAATATGTCAGTAAAGTCATGGGCAACTAGGAACTACCCTTTGTATGAAGCCACTAACGAAAAAGTCACTCTCTTTCTTGATTGAAGTGCGATTAAAATAAAAGCAGTGACAGTTGAAAATGAAATACATCTAACACACCAACCAAAACGGCCTTTCTTCGTGTCCTTGCTTCCTATCACTCGTGCAAACATTTAATGTAGGGAAATTACCAGTTATGTCTATTTATAAGTAGCTCATTATAAAATTTGACCAATTGATAAAATATTACTAATATTAGCCAAATTAGCCAATTAGCTATTTGTAGCAAAAAATATCAAATTTTTGCTTTGTTTTGAGTGGGTGTTATTAGAATAGATTGGGCACAACTTAAGGAGCTTGAATCTCAGTTTTGGGATGATTTGGTGAAGTTTTGAGGTGGTTTGAATTGAAAATTTGAAGTAAAAGCTGAACATGAAAAAAAAATGATATGTGTATAACACTGTGTATCATTTGTGTATCACATATGTATCATATTTGTATCAATTGTGTATCACATGTATATCCATGTATACCTGTGTGTGTGATACATGCGTGATACATGTGTCGCAGAAGACTTTTTTGAACTCGATTTAATTACGAATTTTGATACAAAACCAGTCCAAATCACCTCCAATCTTCCTCAAATTTTGTATATTGACTTATCTATATATTTTCAATGAATTTCAACTATACCCATTGAAAAAGTTCCTTTTTTTGTTTAGATTTTTGGAATATTGTATAGATTTCTGTATTTCATCACCTTATTTGCTACCCCGTCCATGAAATTTCCTTTCCGTCTTGTATCTAATGTTGGTAATCACGCTTAAAAATATGGAAGGTGATTTTTGCATGTGATTCTTTGAGAGAAGGAACCCTATTATTTGGTTTTTCAATTTTTGTTGGCTAGTTTTGGTAAGTCTATGACTAATGGCTAGAGGTTGGTAAGTTGAGATTTATTTGGGACATTTGTGTAAGTTTTCCTTTAATGTATTCATTGATTTGTGGTCCTACCAAAGTTAAGAACTTCAAATTTTATTTTCTATCAACTCATGCATATTGATTCGCTTTCCTTTTCTTCTTTGGGGTGGGAGTTGAGGGGTTGGGTGGGTTGTGTGTTTAATTCCAAAATCTTCATTGTTTTATCATTCATATTAAGGTAATGGAGCAAAAATGAATTTGAACCTCATTAGGGAGTCAGGATTCTTGTAGGCCATACAACAATTATTCACCTTACTATGTTTTCTTATGGATTCACATAATATGAATGGATAAGGATAATCCCGGGATTATTTTTTATATGAGTGTATACCATGTTTGGTTGGATAAAATCGTGGCATAACTAATACCGAAATTGTAGTGTTTTTTTATCCCTACGAAAGAGTGGGATTAATAATCCAGGGATCATTAATCATGGGATAACTAGTTTCTCAACCAAACGACCCCTTTAAGTACTATCGTCACAGCCGAGCCATTACGTATACTATATTCGATGTAAAAGTGAATATCTATGCTTCACTTGGCACAATTACTTGTACAAGATGAAAATAGAAGGACTCAAAAAGATATGTGCTCGGTTGTATAACACATTTCTTGACGACCGATCATAACATATTGCTGTAGTAACAAAAAAAATCGCTGTGCATATTGACAACATATACATAAGATACCTGCACATGAAGAAACAAGATGATTCAAAATAATACTAACTTTTTCTACAACTCCTTCTGAGCCTTTTACGTCTCTCTGAATAGTCGTTTGGAAGATCATCCTCCATGGTTTGACTTGAAATGTTCTCACCAATGTCTGCATAAGAAACCGGTGAGCATATAATATGAGAGAGACAATGAGGCCTAAAAATCATTATCCTGTTTATCATGTAATTGGAACATCTTCAAACTGAAAGTTAAACCTCATTATAGATCACTCAAAACTGAGAATGTCAGAACCTGTATCATAATAAACCCTCATTTATCTCTCGAAAATTATATTGATCCAGTTAACATACGTCTAATGCAAAAGTATAGGGGAGACAACTGTTAGACCCTAACTCTTTGTCATCGGGCGTGGAACGGCTGTGGCAAGGATTTGGGCGTGATGGCCTTGTCATTGGCCTATGTGCGGGCAAAACGATCATGCGGGCGACGGACAAGACATTGTCATTGAGGGTTGTTATGGGCAAGTATTGGCCAAGGCCTTGGGACAGGCAAGGCGCGCTTGGCAAAGGCTTGACAAAGCTGCGTGGGCAATGTTAGGGCGGCATGGCACGGCATGCGCGCCAAAGTCAGTGACACGACACTTTGGGTTGTGGCAGCTAAGTGCGGGCTAAGCTAAGGCAAGGCGGGAATGCGGGATGATGGTAAAGGCTTTCAATAGCAAGGGCAAGGCTATGTGAAGGAAAATACAAGCAATGGCACGAGGGAAATGAAGGTTGACATGGACAAGGCAGAAACTAGGCCAAGGCAGTGCGCGGGCGGCAGCGGCGCCGGGCGTGTGAGGAAAAATCATGGCAGCGGGTTGCGGGCAAGACATTGGCGCGGAGCAATGTCAAAGTGAGCTAAGGCTTGGCACAAAGCAGGCCTTGGGCGAAATTCAGCTGGCCAAGTTAGGATGGCACATGCAATGCAGATGGAAGGCAGTTTTGGCGGTTACCTTGTCTTAACTTCTTTGTCCCATGATCTGATCATGCTTGTTCCATTATCCATTTCGTGTATATTGTGTCCTAAGTAGTTGGGGATGTCAACTACATGTTAGGAACAAGATTTAAACTTAGCCCGACAAGTGGCAAAAGCTGTAGACGACAAGTGTCATGTGCTGTCAAGTTTAAGGGCTGCCTATGTTCTATAAATAGGGCCTTTGGACTTAGTCAGATTGATGTGGGTAATTTCGTGTGAAATTATAAGTGGGAAACAAGAGTGAAACGTGAGGGTTTCAAAGTGTTTCAAAGGGGACTAAGGCTAGGCTTGGGCAGGTCTTAGTGTTGGCCAAGAACGACTTATGTTCTTTGCCAAAAGTGGGCTGTGAGCGGATTGTGATCATAGCAAAGTGAGGGTCCTTTGTATGTTTTCGAAATTAATACAAGGGTTGGGAATTTTCCCGTATTGGCTTTGTGTTCTTACTTAATTTCTGATTTGCTGCCTAAAAATTCGTTAAGGCCAAACTTGCTGAAATTTGGCTAAGTGTTAAGGAAGGCTGAGTCAAGTGCGGAACTTGACTGCCGCGCGGGTGTGACTTTGGACTGACCAAAAACGCCCCCGTGACAACAACCATCAAAGAAATTCCACCCTATTAAAGAGCTGAAAGGTTTCTTTGTTTCTCGCACTGAAAACTGAACCATCAGCATGACAAACATGCTCCGGATATGTTTACTTTACCTCAAGTAATGGCACGGGATATAGACCTCGGTAGTCTGTACCACAAAAACACTAAACTTAAATGAAATCATCAATTCCAGATTTCCCACCCAGCAAACCTTCCCAATAAACATTGATATCTTGGGTCAACCCTCCAAATAGAACTCTAATGACCATCTATAATCATATATCCAAGCTGCACCTAAACTTGGAAACTTTATCTACTTATGCACAAACCACTTTAACAAACACCTCTCCTCACCAGGCAAAAGAGGAACTTAACTATTATACTTGTAGCAGCAAACCAGAGTAACTAAGGAAGAGAACAATTTTCAGGGTCATACTTTCTGATGTCTCCGCAGCTTTTCTGGAGAACTTGCCCTTTATCTCTTCGCGATCTCCAGTGGGAGTGTATCCCAAACGCTTGCTGGATATTGTTATCACTCCAGGTTCAACTTCCTGTTCTGGTATCTCGCACTTACCATTAAAAGGTTTCATGTAACAGAACCTAGAGTATGTCGAACAAGATTCACAGAACAAACTTAGTGAATATGTGGCAAATACAATTGACAAAGAACTTAGTGAAAAGTCATTATACATGAGAAAACAAGAGACACCAACAACAGCAAAAAAGAGTTAACTATTAAAATGATACTGAGCAAACAGGTAGAAGCTGACTGCAGAGTACATGACCATAATACACTTCGTCTTGCAATAAATCAGTTCTTCTATAAAGTCCGTTTTCCGTATCCTTCAAATTTGACATTTGGCCGTATAATCAGTGAAGCAGCATATTATCTGTGAATTCCAGATTCTTTATTCCTGGATAATAATTATGCGATGAGAAAGAGGACTTAATTTTTCAGAACTAAAGCAGCCTCTATATCAGATTACTCATGGATGTAAATCCGTGGTACCTACCATTAACTTGGCTCCTAGGATTAGTTAGAGGAGTCATGTTTATGTTAAATCTAACAAACATCTGTCCAGAAGTAGTCTCTGTTAAACTGTGTTTGAATGGCTTCATCTTGTAATACCGGAACTTGTACATACTTTAGCAACTTGAACATCCTTTTATTTAGAGCTCGAATATAAAGTTGAGACTTCAGTATTATTATTTTTTAAACGTGGAGCCTATAGTACTAACTTTATGAGCCAAATTCCTTGATATAAACTTGTTGAGCTTGATTTCACTGGTTGGAATTTACAGAGGGCCATTTTGGTATAGATCGGGACCATTTGCTAGTATGAGTTCTCAAATTTTTCTAATTCCAGAAATGGTATCCTTAGCGTTAACTTCTCAAACTTAAATTTCTTCATAGTACAGCTTCAGTTATTTATTTTAAGTTAGCAACACACTTGCGTACAGCTTCAACCAAATTTTTCTAATTCCAAAAAGTGGTATCTTAGTGTTAACTTCTCAAACTTAAATTTCTTCATAGTACAGCTTCAGTTATTTTTTATGGATGATGATGAGACTCAACCGCCAAATTTCTACCTACTTCTACCTACTCCAATACCATCTGATACCCTATTGAAGGGTGTAAACTGTCTAATTCAAAAGTTTTGTTAGAGTGCGAACACTTTTATTTACTTTTAGAAGACGTATGCTACCACTCGGATTTAAGATCTGCAATAGTCTTGATTTACAGAGCAAATGTATCCGATTGTATTGTTCAAGGGTTTTAAACTATCAGAAGACTTCTGAAAATTATGATCACATGGAAACATTCTTTACAAGAGAACAATTCAGTGCTTGGGGTGAGAGAAAGACCCCGACATATGAGAACATCAATTGTGGATAAGACTTCTAGGATTTATTTTGGATAAATCAAGTTAAGATTCTTAGAGAGACGCTAGTTTTAAAAGTGAAAAGTTCAAAAATGTAGCAAGGTCCGTGGGGCTTGAAGCGATAAGTGAGAAGGTAAATGCCGATATTAATCCAACTCCTCAAAGTTGAAACCCAAATAACCGACCACCTTTTCTTTGGATCACTTTGCGCGTCATTGTTTGAAGTGCACATTTCTCCAAAGTATTCACCCATGACGCTACAACCCCTCGCTTCACATTGCTTCATCGCTCTAAGCGATAAAGCCATAGCTTTTAGCAACACTGCTAGAGAAGCTCTATTTTAGGTCATATTACTCAAGTTAGTTGGGGGAAGTCAGAAAAGACTCTTACCACTGAAGTGGTAAACTCTTGCTGTTGAAGCCATGGCTCAACATTCTCCACTTTCTGCATTTGTCACACTGCACCCACTCGTGGTCAGGTTTGTAGACACCGGTACCCGCCTTCTGTAAGAGAGGAAAACCCTAGTTAAAATTTGGTGAGAATGTCATCTTTGACAAAAATGAACCATGAACTTTACAACCTAAAAATGCAATAGAAAGGCTACAGAAAGACTAAAGAGATATAGGAGACCCCTTCTCCATGCTTAGCTCGGTCTCAGAAATGCCGGCAAAGATGGACTGTGAATGCACTGGTATTTCAAAAAGGGAATCATAAAAAGAAGATGATTAACAGCACTTCTTCAAAAAGACATCTGCTTGAGATGAAAGTAAAGGCATACTGCTGCCTATATAGGCAGTAGTTTGGATAATCGTACTCACAGAGAACAGCATCAATTTCCGATTCTAAAATAGTTTACATATTACACGTGAACCAGATTACCAGAAACATTCCAACGTTTTCCTCATGCTTTATTTCTAATCAGATGAACCTCTTAAAATAACTTTTGTGCCACAAACCTCCTTGTTGGCTATGGAAAACGTGATAAATCACTTCATCAATCTCCAAAAGGGGAAAACAACAGCGTATTAGTGATGATACCCTGGACCACCCTTACTCTAGAATCACCAAACTGATAATTTTTCTTCAAATGTTTTCTAGTGCCTTGCTTATCATTGCTTCTCTGATTTTACTTTCCCATTTTACGGATCCAGCTCCGGCAAAGTCTTATTTCGCTTTGATTGCATAAATACGACACAACTAGTTTATGCTTCAAATTACTCTCACAGAATTCATTTAATCAATCCTCAATGGCTAGTTTTAAGTTATTAGATTGCATCCTCGATACAAAATAAGTTGGATTTCTTTTTAGAGTTATTACCTGACAATAAACAAATATTGAGATCGAAACACATCACTAAGGGATAGAAACATTGAAACACATTAAGCGATTAAATTAAAATGATGCCATCACAGAATACTAGCAATTGCCTTCACAGGAGAACAATGATGCTACACAATAAATTCCGAAGTTTATATGCTACATCTCTACTGAATCCCACATTTATTTCAAAAGTTTGGATATTTCATCAAATATCTTATAGCAGAAGTCATAAAATATGAGAAATCAAATGAGAAAGTTGAAGAGCATGGTCAGCTTTTGAAATACTCCAAAACACAATATTTTATTAAACTCAAAAAAAAAAATCATTACTTATCATTTATAATATTCAAGAATTGGGACGGGAGAGGGGAGGGAAGAAATAGCTTCAGCTGAACCAAAAATCAACTTCATACTAGGCCAGTATAGTGAGGGAGTACCAATTCAACTTTATCGACGTGTTCGTCCAAGTATCTGTCTGATTTTTCACCCAGCCACTTCTCCAATTCAGCATACACTTCGCAGTCCTGGAATCCTTGCTTATTGTTGTGCACCCAAACATGACCATTATCTTCAGCCTGTGCCAGAAACACATTAGTGGAGTAAATATTCCCAGTTCCTTTTCTAACATTTTTAATATAATATTTTTTTTAATTGATACATCAAGTTGGCAACTTCGCCTATGTGCTTTTAGAAAAAAGTTGAGTTTTCTGTACCTCTTTTATCATAAAGAAAGTCTTCTAAAAAGGTAAAAAAGAAAGCTTCTTTGCTACAACATCACCTCCTTTATTAATATTTTCAGTAAATATTTAGTTCCTTTTCTAACTTTCTTAATATCAAAAAATTAAATGATACATCAAGATGGCAACTTCACCTATGTGCAAAAGTGTAGATGATTCCAGACCCAGATAAAGGACAAAGGTGACAGTAGGTTGTGAGCCAGCATACAAATAGTCATGAATGCTAACGATTCATATAGCCTAACTCAAGTGGTTTGGAATTTAGGATTTTTGATTATTGATAAAAGGACAAAAAGGGCAGCCCGGTGCACGAAGCATCCCGCATTTACGCAGGGTCCGCGGAAGGGCCGCACCCCAAGAGGGTGTAATGTAGGCAGCCTACCCTGATGCAAGCATCAGTAGCTAATTCCACGGGTCGAACCCATGACCTATAAGTCACACTCAAAAGCATTATACTATGAATATACTTTAGAATCATAAAAATCTACTCAACTATCAACGTTTCCTCTTACACCAGGAAAAAAAAATATTATCAAATAATCAAGAAACCCTATAATAAAATGTTTATAAGCAAAAGTAACCTCGTATTGTTGACAAACATGTATTCCATTCAAAAACTCAAGTTAATTCTCAAGGAAATTCATATCAATAGAAACTATTAAAAGAAACATCTCAAGTAACTCTAAGAATCTTCCAGCTCAAGATAGATATCTTTTGTTTGATCATCATTAACATTGTAACTACATATGTAAGATTTGTTTGCTTTTTGTCCTTTTCTTTGGCCAGTAATTTCTCAAACCTTTCACTTACTCAAACTCAATGAATGTTGCAAATCTCCTTCATTTTCAACATGGCTTAAGTGCAACTTTCTAAAAAGTTAAAGGCCCACAAAAACTATATAGACTAACAAAAATACTAACTCAAACATGCTTGAAGGGATGACCATAAAATAATATAACACACAGCTATAATTTTATTATGAAAAAAATTGTCTAAGACACACAACTTTATGATTGTAATGCTATTCCAAGTAATTTTAGGTGAAAACAAAAACATCGTTCATATTTGTGAGCTAAATGGTATGATTTCAACTCAGAAAGATCAAAAATATTTGCAACATATTTATTTCAGAACATCATTAACTTCAATAGAACTGGAAAGGAAACACTAAAAGAAAACCCAGAAGAGGAAGAAAAGAACAAAACAGTATATGAAGTATCAGACAACAAACAGAAGGAATGTTCACCATTATGTTTGTGACATCAATAACACCAATGACACCACGGCCATTATCTCCATTATGCATCATACTCCCAACTTTCTTGTAAGCCTGTGATAGAATAACCATGTGAGCTGCTACACTACAGATTGTAAGCTAGACAAGTGATTTGCCAGCCAAGAGTACGTAAATATTTATATATTCACCTAACCCATTGTGACAATAAAAACTAATCTTCTTCATCCTTTATTTTCTAGGAAACGAAATGTTAGCATCCTCTCGACTTTAAAATATTTGAAGTTAATAAATTGTAATCAAGATACAGATTCAATAATCCAAACTACTGAAATAAGAGGTTCTATAACCATATGCTGCTGCACTATAGACTGCACATTGAACGCAACAAGAGACTCAAAACTGGGGAAAGAAAACGAGTAAATAGTTGTCCAATTCGTTCTATATTTTTCAAGTATCTAACAATCAATTGATATCAAGCCATAGTGACCTTCAAATCAAGTATATGCTGAAAGATACATAGAGTAAGGGATATTCGGGGGAGGTTATAATCAAGTCAGCTTCAAGTATCCGAAACCCATACGATCAAGTAATGTAGTCTATTTAACCCACCAAGCTATGTTGCGCGGACTCTCCAAAATGCTGCCGCACCCGTGTCGGATCCTCCAAAAATACACTACTTTTGGAGGATCCGACACGTATCCGGCGATATTTTCGGAGAGTCGGAGCAACATAGCCACCAAGTAATATAACATAAAAGAAGTGCATAAACTACAATCAAGATACAGAATTAAGAACCAAAACTATCAAGATAAGGGATTCTATTATCACCATATGCTGCTGCACCAAGACTGGACAATGGACATTGAACTCAACAAGAAAAAACTGGGGAAAATGCAAGATAGTTGTTCAATGCATCCTATATCTTTGAAGTATTGAACGCGTAACGATCAATTTATATCAATTCATTATGTCCTTCAACTGAAGTACATGCTGTGGCGACCTCTTGTTTTCGTAGTTTTTACTTTCTTCTCATCATCAACAGTAATACTTTTCCAGAAACATATGTCCATATATTTTATAGGCAAGTATGACACTTATGTTCTTGATCAATCTAGAATGGAGTTTCAGTTTACTTAAATCAGCCTGAAGACAACTAATAACCACAAGCTTCTGTAAATCCTAAAATTCAACTTTAAGCTGGTATCGTTATAAAGAAGGGGAAGGGCTTGGACACATGATATGTTTGAGATCTGGTGAACTCTAGAGGAGGGCAAAGGATACGGCACCAAGTATAAATCCTTGTTTAATCATGATTGGTCGGTTAACAAATTATGAAGCTTAGCATGCAACCCAGTTCTGCCAAGTCTCGGTATCCAGTTGTACCAGCTACTCTAGGTTGGTGTGCCGCGGCATTAAGGAGTTTAGTTAGACTCCTCATGCTGAGTGGAAAGTATTTGCTAATAGCACTCTGCATTTTAGAAGGTCTTGTGGACAAGATCTTAAACTGGAGAAAGGATACATCTAACTGAACAGGCTAATAAATTAAGAGTTTCTACCTCAAAAGTGGATAAACAAACGATTGTGTTGTCCTCAAACTGTGGACAAGTTACAAGAAAATCGCTTCGCAGTTCCTACTTTCACATAAAACCAAAGAAAGTCGGGAAAAAAAGGACAGCCCGAATTTTTGTCTGATTTATCCCCCTGTTGGTGGACCTTTGAAGAGCAATTAGATAAAAGTTGAATATCATCCAACCTGCCGACTACCATGTTACAAAGCATAATCCAAGAAAAGTTATTTTCCAGAATTCGCCATCACAAAATTGCAAAACTTTCTGATCCACTTCTACTAGTTATACATGAGCAGTGTGTGGACGTTAAACTGCAGGGCTACTCATTATCGTTAAGCTAGCTTCTAAAAATTCCTAAGCAACTCTTTCATATATTTTAGCAATTGAGAATTCAATCAGATTTTTCATGGATCAAAACTCAGACAATGAAAGCTAAAATCCGTTGAAGGATCGGAGTTGTTCTCTCAGTGTTAATAGGTGCATGGGAGCGTGATTTCCAAATTAAGAAACAACGAATCCATGTAAGTATAGGCAACAGAAAACGACAAGCATTATCAAATTAAATTGAGAAACGGATTAAAAGAACTGACAGTGCTTCAAAAAGGGGTCAAGCTTCAAATATGACAACAATTTAATCTCCCATGGAAACTAATGAAATAGTAGAATATCCATTAAGGCATACCCCAACTGACCAAAAACTCCAGGTGTTAGATCCAATGGCAAAAACTAAATTGAGATTTGAGACTGAACAGTTAAAAAGTCAAGAAGCAGAGTACAAGAATAAGATCCAATAGAAAAGAGAGATAATATTCTACACAACCAAACAATCTCAGATTAGATGCTAATTGTGTAAGAATGCTTAGATGATATGGATCTTGTTGAAATAGAGGTAGTTGTGAAACTGTAACTACCCTTCTTGTAAATTTGCAATACCTTCTTGGTACTATTTAATGAAATTCACTTAAAAAAACCAATCTTCTATCTGAACCCATTCTTAGTTCAATCTTCTTTTATTTCTTTTTTCTTTGTGGGGGGGGCAGGGAGGGGTGGGAGGTTAAAGTTCAATCTTCTTTTCATTTCACAGCTATGGAATGCTAGATCACAATAAAATTATGAACAACTGAAGGCAAAAGAAAGAAAACATCTCTTATTTCCGAAACAATGAAGAAGGCATGAATGGATGGATGTCCAATGCTCACCTCTATTAGACGCCCATGCCAATACAGAAACATTCCACTATTTGCTTCTTCCCATTCCAATTGACTGCAACCTAGTGTAAGTTGAACAGGTTTCCCCATAATAGTACCATTTTCCACAACAGTCTTGTTTAGAGATCTTGCTAATGGTCGGCTTTTAACCTGTTAAAGTAGTAAACATAAGAAAATCAGTTTCCGATCTTATTAGCGATACATTGGGAGTTTGGGACCAGCCTACGCAATTGTGACACAGAGCCATATGTATGCAAGTACCTGTGATCCTTGGACATATATTTTCATCCGTGGATCAAGAAAGATCACTTCCAAATAAGATCTAAGTGAATAGTCCAAAGGCACCTAAAACCAAACAACAGCAACTTAGCAATATGAAGAGAAAAATAATGATATAAGTTATAAAAGGAGGTAACCAACCATTTGAGTCATCTGGCCTGGACGAGCTCTGACCCGTCTAGAACGAATGAGAATATCGCCCTGATGAAAGGAGCTCGCACCAGTTATTCCAGACTCCCATTGCAGGCTATAATTGGATCCCCACTCATCCAGGTTCCAGATATAGATCTGTGTTCCTGTGCCATTATTACTGAATAGACCTACTTTTTCACCTATGAAGTATTTATCAAATGGTGAAAATTCCTTAATAGCTTTCAAGTTGTGTTTGAACAAAGCCTCATTTTGCTTATCCAGCTCCATAAATTGCCCATTTCTGTAGTAGCTTACAATGGGTATCTCCAGATTCTGCAGCATAAGAATGAGCAGATAAAGACGAGCACTACTGAGAAAGCATTATAACCAAAACAAGAAGTCTATTAAGTTGCTTTGGTGCCTACATCTTTTCCTTCATTGAGTGTCTGGGAAAGGAAAGCAATTGATCTAGAGTTAGCAGTCTGTGTCAGAACCAAGGCATCTTTTCCAAGTTTCATTGCCCCAGTCTGCACAAAGAACACCAATGGAACAACAAAGATATCATGTTATCCAAAAGCTAATCAGGGGTTACAGCACAAGGTGAAGAAACTCAAGCAAAAGGAGATGCATCTATATGCCCGCATTTGCATTGCAATCCAGCATTCTTATAAATGAGGAAGTCATATCATTAATTACAGGATTCAAACTCCAAAGTCCTAACCATTAAACCATGAAGCTTATTCCCAACAACTACATGGTATAAAAGCTAATTGCAGGTATACTTTGTACAGAACCATGTTTTAGCTTAGGATTCACAACTTCCTGTATACAGCTTGTATGCAGCACATCAACGAACTATGTGAATGGAATAGAATTCTCACCCTATCTCTTTAAGAAAAGTGGGAACAAAATCATGGTGGACAAGGACACAATAAAAATATTTTTAATTCATATCATTAAAAAGGTTAAATGAGATCTATTTATAAGGTTCTTCAGGCAACAAGATAGGGACCTCCGGAATTTCACATAAAGGGTGACAACAGCAAATATTAAACAACCTTAAAACCAATTCCAAATCTCCCAATACGATTAGGGTCATCTGCATCAGGTTGCCTGTGTCCAAATGATACCATCTGAAGCACCTCCTGATGGTTCATTCCACACCCATCGTCTATAATGCACAGCATAGGAATTTCTCTGCCAACCGCTTTTGAAAATATCATGTCAATAGAAATTTCCAGCCTGTCAAACAGCCAATGAAAAGCAATGTGAAATGAGGAACTATGAAACTTAAATGCACAAACATGCATGGTAACCTCTGCCTTCCCCCACCTTTTAGGAAATGTTAGAAGAGGGAACTGCAAGCACGGCAGAATGATCAAGTAGAAGGAAAAGCAAATTTGAAGAAAAAGAATCATTGGTAACAGTACTAGAAAGGGAAGTATAGACAAAATATAAATAAGGAAGTCAGTAAAGAATCATAGAACAGGAAAGGGAACTTGTGTACCTACTTAGTTGCTTTAGCGTCTCGAGAATTGTCTACGAACTCAGCAATTGCCCCAAAAATCCAACCAGAATGAGTGTGACCTAGAGTTTTCAGATAACTGGGATCTGCACGCACATAATTTCTCTCCAAGGAAAGATTTTGTTGAGTTGTTTTGTCAGGTCTTCCAATAGCTTTGGCTGACCCATCAAGAGTTGGGGCACCTACAACAGCCTCCTTACAGTAGGGAGAACAAGCATCCTCAATCACACAAGAAGTTGATCCAGAGGCCTTACCCGCAGGACATTCACTTGGTTTTCCCCCCTCCCGGTAACAAACATTTGTAGAGCTCAATCCTGAGCCTTCTTTCGGAGGAAGTATGAAAAATTCAAAGGATTCATGCTTTCCAGTAGCAACCTTCAAGATCATGTCCAACAATAGTTACAATCTTTAATAGCAAACTAATACAAAAAGATATGCTTGGATAGACCAATAGAAATTAAAAGTAATATGAGCACCTAGAAATTGTTAGTAGGAATCAAAACATTTGCTGCCTTCTTCATTTTTTTTTCCCGCAGGAATTCATCAGTGCAATAAGGTATATTCAGGATTCTAGAAGCAAATTTACCCTTTTGTATTTCCGAAGGAAACCGAGGAATTCTCCCCACTCCTTTTCCTGATAAGAATTTTCTGGAGCGCGACGTAACAAGCAGCAGGATAACTCAGACAGGAAGTCAAGTTTTTCTTCCCGTATAATGTCTGTTATATTCCAAACTGCAGGCCTGTTAAGCATTTCAGAGTAAGTGCACCTCATAATTTGCATAAATGGAGCAAAGAAGCGAGGAAGGGTGGAAAGCATCTGGCCATGTAATGCATTACCCAGCAGACAAAACCGTTTTTCAAAAGAATGCCCCATGATTTAGATTTCACTCAACAGAAACAGTAAACCCTTGTTAACTGTAGAGCATGAAATTTGTCAATCAGAAATTAAGCTTCTGCTTTTAAGGCATATTATAATGTTAATCCTCCTGCATCACCATGTCATAAGTTTTTTTTCTATTTTTTCGATGGATATATCTTTGTGATATTTTTTTTGAACGGATAAATGGGACTTTAGTCATACTTGGATTGGATAAAAAGGCTGTATTTAGTTTTTGCCTCTACGGCTACAATGGAAAATTGATTAAAATCTCTCCACATGTTTTTGCATAATGGGTGCAGCATTTTGCAGAGGAAGTAACATTGGACCAGTTTGAAGATGGAAACATGTTGAAAATTGAGTTGCACTGCGCAGAGGATGGCCGCGCCTTGATGTCATGGCAGTTGCAGAAGAAAGAGAACAATGCCTGCTAAAGGGAGTAATTTGAGGATTCAAAAGCATCGCTTGGTTTTAGTAGTGGATCATGCAGTTGTAATGGGGAAAGAAGAATTGAAACTAATGAACGTGAAAAGGAGAAAATAAATTTTCCTGCTAGCAGATTCAAGAGCTAAATCTTTCTCTCTTTTTTGGGTTTTTTTTTTGGAGAAGGAAGAGCTAACACTTTAACACCAGAAAGAATAAAAAAATTACCATGTTTGCCGGTGATAAACAACTTAATGACAACAATAAATAGCTTCCAAGTTCCATCCGAAATTGGAATAAAAAATTGATAAACTCCAGATAGAAAAATGCTTTTGGAGGGAACTTCCAAATTTTCCACTGAACAAACTTACTTCTCAATTCTCTTATTTCCCTCAAGAAAAGAAAATAGAAGTTTATTCACAACTCAATTAGAAGAACTTCCAGCAGCAGATAGAAATTATATCAGCACATAATGTTCCATAACCGTACACCATAACATGGTAATAAAACATGCATGAGCTGTTCTGAAGGTGAAGCATAGGCAGAAGAGCAATGAAAGCTGGAATATTAAATGATTTTGTGACTTTTTACATACATATTGGCAGGTGGATTGAGACACTGAGTTTGACATATGATTCTTCTGTCCTTTGTCACCTTAATATACTGTTTAAAGCCATCTACAACAATAAAAATAGTCAGACGGGAAAATAAGTAAATGAAATAAATGGCTTAGGATTTTGCACAAACGTCCAAAGCAATCAAAACAAATCAATAAATTTCAAGATGATAAAGGAGTGAACAAAAGGGAGGAATTTGTTTATAAACTATACTTTAAAAATAAAGGGTCAAAGAGCCCAGTTTAAACTTTCAATGCGTTGATGATACAAGGCATTAAGAAACCCTATACCACAACAATATCTCATGATCATTTTATGAATAATATCATCAGCTGCTCTCAATGCTATGTACTGGTATACAATTACATCCACATTCTTTATGTCTGACCATTGAAATAATAACATATAATACGATAGCCACTAACGACTCAAAGATTGCAAGAGAAAGATCCATCAAACAAACTTTTTTTTTCTTTTTAGATTAATTAATAAAAGATTTTACCTTCGCATGATGTCTCCTCCACCATGGCGAGATCTCCCATCATAAACCTAGAATAACATACCATGGAACAGCCATAAGGGCATTGAACTAAAAAATAAAAATTTCAAACCTAATGCATTCAAACATCCATAATATCATAAAAGGCGAAGTCTAATTTAACTCTAGAAGATACCTACCTTATCCCCCAAAAAAAAAAAGAACTCTACAAGTACACTGTAGAGCTACTTTTTGTAGGAGTGGCGGTGCCACATGCAATGAAGGGGATTCAAACAAATTTATACTGTGTAAATAGGGTAAAACAAATTTAAACATACATAAAATTTTGAATCCCTTAACATAGGAGAAATACAAGTTAAATCTCAAGTATGGCATATGTGGATTTCTTGAATTCCCTTGTCAGAACTTCTGGGTCCATTACTTGTTCTGTAGATGCAGAAAGGATCAGCGAATAATACGTAAACTGCACAAGCTAGCTCATAAAATTGATTGTGTTCAGAATTCAGTGCTTATGCACCAAAAATAACATATCACAGATATACCCTGACAAAGGACTAGTCTCTTCTAAGTCACTTAGTGAAGAAGGGAAAGTCATCTTTTCCTTCTCCAGCTGTTGTCTCATAACAAAGAGAGCTCCCTAACTTGGAAGAGATCACTAAAGAAGGAGAATAATTCGCTCCTTTCATTTCTCACAAGCATTTTTGCCTGTGATATTACTCATTGTCCCCGGAACAAGAGAACCGCACAGCATTTTACTTATTAGTTTCAACTTGTTCTTTGAAGTGACCATACTGGCCCGGAGCCGGGATGAGGATAAATTTGCAAGTTTTCTCAAGTCCAGCGTGAAATGGTGTAATTTTTGTGTGCAACCAGTTTTAATGGTTGCCTTTTCCACACTAATACCTTTTCTCTTGTCCTCCTGTGATTTGTTAGATTTTGTAAGCCAATTGTTTCAGCTCCAGTTGAGCAACATTTGTTATTGACAACTTCAATCAGATTGTCAAAGCATCTTTTCCCCTTTTTAAAAAGAAGATGAGTTCTTTTGCAATGTTAAACAATATCTTTAGAAGTATTAGGGTATCAAACCTTAGCGTAACACTCACTTTTCAATCCCTTGATACCCGATGATAGATGACTTGAGAATAGAGAACCAATTTTAGTTCCAATTTTGTCCAGTTAGGAAAATTTATTTTATGCATCCATAATACTCAAACAATAGAAGAACGGAAGTACAAGAGGACAAACTCATGTTGATAGATTTAGTGCAGCTTATTGGACCTTCCACGTTCCAACATGGATAAACCAACTAGAAGGGTGAACCACAAGTCAAGTAAGCAAAAGGGACCCTTGAAGACGATAAACAAGACATTGGCATCATTTGCGTTAATTCCAACTAAGAAGAGGCCAATTCCCTTATTTCTTCTCCAGTGACTAATACAAGTAGAGTTGTGGATCAAGTGATCAATCAAAAGCAGAAGACTCTTGTGAAAAAGTCGTTCAAAAAGAAATGTCACTAAATTTAAGATAAAGGATGAAGTTCATATATTACTAGGAAACAGATCAAATATCTCGCTAGCAATGGGAAGAAGCGCAGTACTTATAGAACAAACAGCGGAAGTGGAAGGCACAGGATCTAGACTTGGTAAGGTGGACAAAAATTTTGGCACACACATGTAGCAACTGCAAATATAGAACTCAAAAGATTGGCATTGCAGTATTAAAATGGAACTTTTTCAAAAAATATATCCTACGGGAATTATAAATAACAAACTGTATTTTAAACTGTGCTCCATAAGAAAGTATGAGATAATATCTGAACAAAAAATTGAACTAGAAAATATAACTAAAATGTGTTCATCATGCAAGTAAAACAAAGTCACACAACATAGACTTGATTTTAAGGTAGACAAAATTATAGGCTATTAAAATGCGGCTTTGGCTTGAGAAGACATATCAATTAGTTTACTTTTGGGTGAACGTAAATGTTTTAAATAGGAGGACAGAGTCCAGTTAAAAAAGATTTATCATAAGGAAAAAAGAGAAAGAAAGGCAGAATAGGGTCAATAAAAAATTGGGAGGCAGGTGCCAGCCCACCCCTTTACAGAATAGACAAAACTTTAGGGCTGAAATTATCTATCGACATATTTAGCTTTGGAGTTCCTCCAAATTTTGGACATCAGAGCTACTGCAAACCCAAAGAACTATACACCTTCATGAGTCTTTAATGCCTAAAACATCAATAGTAGAAGAATGTCAAGCTTCTTGACTGAATTGCAACAACACATGAACAAGATATATTGTCAAAAAAAGGGAAGTGACCGTCAAACAGGATGAGCAAGAGAAGATTAAGTTGTCAAGCAAATGTACTCGAGTTCTGAGAATGTACATAAACTCTAGAATTCTTCAGCTATCTAAAACAACAAGAATCCAGCATCACAATTCTTGCTATCCTATAATTTATTATAATAGTCATTTCCCATATGAATAATAACAGCATAATTTATGCGCGAATATATGTATTATGTTAAATTATAGAATGTGGAAGAAGGATTTGTATTAAATACCTGGATAATAGCACCAAAATGACCCCAAAACCCCCCTTGAAAGTAGTTCTTACTGTATAGACTATCACGATGTTTATCAAAATTTAAGGAATGTTTCATAAAGTATGGCATGTTGCAATAATTTTTGAGGTCACCTTGTTATATTTATTTGTATATTGATTATAAAAACCAATTCCTATGGTTGGTGTCACACAAATTTAGTTTCGTATGCAAGAAAGAGATGCATGATTATCCTTAATTTAGTAAGATTTCATCTAATCATAGATCTTCAAGATTGATGGTTGAGTGATATATAGGCCAAAGGTATTATTGGGAAATAAACTTTATCTCTTATAAACCAGACACAAGATTATATTTGCATATCACCTTTTTAATATAATGAACTAACTGTCCAACAAGAGATGCATATCAGCGGATAATCTCCTACCATTATTTCACCATAATACAATTCTTGAATACTCCTGCAGAGCTTGTCAGTGAACCAAATAATCCAAGGATAACAAAAAGAACATGTGCTTTCGGCACAGGGGAAACTTTTTTTTTTTCTTTTTGGTTGTCCACCCGGTGTCTTTGGCCTGCGTTGGGGCCTGACTAATCTGGATTCATACATGCGGGGAAGCCCCATTTTGGGGGTAAAGCGCTCCTACAAAAGGCGACTCCTTTCTCAGGGCTCGAACCCAATGGAGGAGTACTTACCCAACTATCACTACCTTTGGTGGACAGGGGAAAAGTTGAAAATTACCCAAAATGGAAAATAAACACAACCTGAACATCATCAAACTCTTCCAACAAGAAGCTAAGATCGTGCATTGTCCAAACTAGAATAAACACAAGCGCAAAAGTAGAAGCAATAAAAAAACTATTTAAGCAAGTAATGAAACCCACACTTCACATTGTTTCACAAATAACACGACTTTAGACGGAAAAAAAATACACAAAACTTCAAAGAGTTCTCTGTGTTTTTGTTGATCGTTGCCTCAAATAGTTAAGTTTTCAACCGAAGTCAAAACCCTAGTACAACAAATTTGACTGTTTAAAGAAACGGCGAATTTCAAGTCTTTTGAGCAGCAATATATGAAAGCTTAAGTAACAAACAGGCATGTAGTAAGCATTATGGTGTACATGAAAATGCACTTACCGGGAGGCGATTGTACGTCGGATTAGCGGCGAAACGAAGAACGGAATATATATGGAAAACAGAACCGAAGTTTTGAGAAGAGAGGAAAGCAGTAGCAGAGGCATGCAACTGGCCTAAACTGAGAGGTTTTCAATGGAATAAAAAAAGGCAACTTAATTATAATTTTATAACATATGAGTATTATGTATTATTATTAAAAATAGTATCAAACTATCAATGTAATTATAAGTACTTTTTTCTGAATTCAGAACACATTCTTGAGTGTATGAAAAGTTATTTTTAAATTTTGAATACGGTTATATAGAGCGGCTTTTTGCTTGGTGCACTTTTTCCGCAAAAGATTTTCTCCTTTTTAATTGTTTGTGTTACGAAAAAGAAACTTTGAAATTTGCGAAAATAAAATGAGTAAAGTGAAATAAAGGAAAAATGGTTTTAAACATTGATTGATATTTTTATTAGTCCTATAAAAGTGACTATAGTAATTTGAAAGGAAAATTTATATCTCTGAACAAAAATTTTAGGAGAACTATATACATGTATAATGTATGGAGATAATATTACCGGCGTGTAACCACGTATGCATTTTGTGTCTGGATATTTTTATTATGTCATTGTGTATATTTAAAGAATAAAAAATTAAAGTTTGTTGAAAGCCAGATCAGACAGTCAAAAATTACAAAATAATTGGTAAAGCCAGATCAGAAAGTCAAAATCACTGATAGTTTAAATCTTAAAGTATATTACACTAGATTTGATGTTTACATTAAAAGATTATCTCATGAAAAAATTAGTTTGCACCTACTACATGTATCACTTTCTTAAATTTTAACTATAACAGGAATATTAGGCATAATATAATGTGAGGATCTTATATTTATTAAGCGAATCGAGTTAAGAATAAAATAGCAGATTATCACTTTTTCATTAATTTGAATACGTACTAATTTTATGTGATGCAGAGGAACATTAGGTTTTATTATTGAGAATGATTTTGTCTTTGTTTGAATTTGCTTCGGGCCTGTACACAAACTTTTCAAAAAATTTCATGTTTCCGGTGAATAATGTGCCAAATATCAGTCAACTTGCAACATTATTGCAATGCAACCACGGTTCGTTTCCTACAAAATATCTGGGGTTACCTTTAGGAGCCAAATACAAATCAGCGTCAATTTGAAACGAGGTCCTTGAGAAGATGGAAAAAAGGTTGGCGAATTGGAAGAGACAATATATCTCCCTGGGTGGTAGAATAACTTTAATCAATAGTGTGCTTGACGCACTGCCCACTTACACCATGTCTCTATTTCCGACTCCTTCTTCAGTGTTGAAATGCATGGACAAATCAAGGAGAGATTTTCTTGGAATGGCAATAAACTATCAAAGCCTATTTGCCTTGTAAATAGAAAAACAGTCATCAAAGATAAATGGAAGGGCGGGTCTAGGAATTAAGAACCTTAATAATCATAATGGAAGTCTTATGATGAAGTGGCATTAGAGATTCAACATGGAGGAAAATGCGCTTTGGAGGAGAACTTTGGTGGAAAAGTTTTCGTTGGACAATCCATGGCACGAAGAGTCTAGAGTGCCTCATGGAACCGGTTTATGGAAACATATTAGAGGGCATTGGAACAAGTTTGAGTCAAACAGGGATTTTATTCTTGGCAATGGAAAGAAAATCAGGTTTTGGGAAGATGCACGGTTGGGTCATACGCCACTAAAAGACCAATTTTCAGATTTTTATAATTTATCCTTGAGTCACATTGAGGCAATTGCAAATTTCTGTACATCGCAAGGCTGTAATTTGATTCTTAGAAGGAATATTAATGATTGGAAAATGGAGAAGGTAGGCCTCTTGCTACAAATGTTAAGCAACACCGTTTTGGACCACAACAAAATTGAGAAGGGTCACTCCAAGGCCTTTTTTCAGTTAAAAGTTGTTACAATATGCTGGATTTTAGCAACAGTGAGTTATGGCCTTGGAAAAAATATGGTACAACATGGCACCTTTAAAGGTTTCTTACTTCTCTTGGATTGTGGCTTAGGAGGCATGCCTCACAGAAAACAATCTCCACAAAAGGGGTTTCAAGCTGTGTCGCAGATGTCCTTTATGTGAAGAACAATCTGAAGATGTACCTACCTTTTTTTGCATTGCAACATTACAAACCAGATATGGAACATGTTCTTTTCAATATTTGGTATGTCTTGGACCATGCCTAACTCCATTTCAGAAATGCTGAAGTGCTTAACCCGGAAGAGTCTATGCAAGAAAGCTCAAACGACCTGAAACACTGTTCCTCAAGTTATCTGGTGTGGTATGTCTGGCTTGAAAGAAACAATAGAATTTTTAAAGGCAAAAGAAGAAATTTATAGTGCCTTAAACTTAATTTCATTTTGTTGATCGCATATTTTAGACGCAATTGCTGATTTGCACAACCTGTAATTACACTTGTTGCACTAGCTTAGTGCAAATATTTATATAATATATTATTTACCCATAAAAAAAAGAATCCTTACTAGATGAGTTAAAGTGCTTTACTCTGATATTTGAAGATGTGTTAAATTTTATATTTTCCTATACTTTTATTTAACGGCACGTGCAACTTCCATGCTAATTGAGCATGGTTAACAAATAAAAGTGACTAGCAAATTGAGAAAATAATTGTTCATGTCCTAACTTTTAGTAGTGTATGACCACATATATGTAATGTGTCTAGCAACAATAACACACGTTGCAATCACACATACACTGTGCGTGGAGATGATCTAACTGTACAATTTTGATTGTGCGCTATGTTCTCGTTAGAATTAAATTTAGTAAATTAATACATACAACTATTGTTTGCTTCAAAAGATATTGGAACCTTTTTGAACAAATCAATCAAAGAAGATGAAGGAGCAAATCTTAGTCGAGACTAATGACCTCCAGATCTATAAACTAATCGGAGAATAATGCATAAAATAAAATAAGAATAGATCAATCTCATTGATATTTTACATTTCTTCATTCATTAATCGATGAAGATCATTTATCTTTGTCTTCTATGGGAAGGCCCCTCTTTTCTAAGAAGAATACAGAGGCGAAGCTAGAGAGAGAGAGAAAAAGCCCCCCTTTCTTGAAAGACTCCTCCCCTATATATAGTTATGAAATTCTCACTATAGGTCAATACAAACTCGCACGACGTCCGCATTCGTCGTTCCCTGAGCGTCGTTCTCTGTTACGGTGGGCATTGTAAGTACGGGGTTGCGGAGCAAACCGTGTCGTCCTTCACCATCTCGTCGCTTAGGCGGGATCTTGGTCAAGCCGACTGCAGCGATCAGATTTTGACCAATACAGTTAGTCTCTCCGTCTACCGGGGTTGCCTCTTGTCGGGCCTGGTAGGCGGATTTACGGTCGTTACATATCTAAGAGAAATCTGATCACCTATCCCTTGGGTATGGTCTTTAGATTCTAGCAATATGACGGCGTCTTTTTGATACCCTCGAACCGTTTTGGTCGTTTCGGAACCTGAACATCGTTTGTCTTGAAGCGTCATTTATGGTTATTTGCCATTATGACACACGTTCCTAGGGGTTTGAACCGTTTTATGCCCTATCAACTTCAATTGACGACTCTTAGATTTCGTGCTCAAAAAATTTATGTCTCTTATAAATAAGATTGCGCCATTCGATTTGACACATTATTTGCCTTCGCTTAAGAAAATTTTGCTAATCCTCTTTCCTCCCGATACTTCGGATTTTTTATTTCCTTTAGTTGGCCAGAAATTTTCGTCTCTCCTTTTCTTTATCTTCTTGCTCTATCAAATCGATTCAAATGGCTGGCGATTCCTCTCGCACTGATCTTTCTGCCACAACTCCGGCGCCGGAAAACAATGTTCTGGCCACTGGAGGAGCAGAAGTGGTAGAGGATGAGGAGGTCCCATCGGTGGCTGAAATCTTGCCTCTCCCTGGAAAAGTATGGAGTGATTTTCACAGCCCCGTTGGGGAGGAACCGGAACCTGCTCCATCCGTCATAACTGGAGGGAATCGCAGAATTGAAGGCCAGGTGGGGGATCCCTCGCCATGTTGAAATACTGCCGGCGGTGGGGGACGACATAGTCCATTTTGACGTCCAGGGTATTGTGCGTTCTACGCCTACCCTTTTATTGTCGGATGCACGTTTCCTCTCCCTCCCTTGGTGGTAGATTTCTGCCGTTTTTATGAGGTATGCCCAGCGCAGCTTTCGCCGTACCTATACAAATTGTTCCTTATGCTGCTCAAGTTTGCGGAGCTTGCTGGTCGTGAAATCACCTTGGGACATATGCTCAATATTTTTGCCCCTCAACTCATTCGTGGCACGATGATTCACATGCGCCGCCGGGGGTCGAAGAGTCTGGTGGTGAAGATGGGCGATAGAGCCAACCGTCGTTTCTACGAGAATTACTTTTACGTGCGGACCGAACACCTTGTGGCGGATCCTTCGGGGTTCCCTGAGAAATGGAACTTCGCCCGTAAGTTTCTATGCCTTCTATCGGAATAGTGCTTGACCGCTTTTTATTTGGGTAATACTAAACTGTGTTTTTTTAGCCGCGAAGCTGCCTCTTGCCCCCGTTGATGGTATCCGCGAATGGGTGAGTGCCATCCTTCCTCATACGCCGGGTGTCCGTACATGGTCGTCTTTCTATGAGAAATATGGACGCAAGCCCCTTACTGGTGAGTAATATTGTCTTTGTTCGCTACTCTTTCTCCTTCTCTTTTTACTTGGTTTCTTATGTGATGTTTGTTGATGCTAGGAAGAGTGCGGAGAGCGAAGGCTCCTCCATTAGCTTTCCGTCAACCTGCCTCGTCTGCTCGTCCTGCATCGGCGTCTGCTGCCCGCGCTTCATCGAGGGCCGCTTCAGTCGAATCTACGGCTACGGCCGCACACGCGGAGGTCACTACTCGACCTGAGAGGTCAGCCCATGTCGCCTCCCTAGTGAGGAAATCTCCCCGTGCCGAGGAAAGGGAGGAGTCATCGAAAAGGCGGCGAGTGGAGTTTGAAATAGCTCCTTCAGCTGTGATATGTTTAGAAGAAGACCTTCCCTTGACGGGATCTGAAGCGGGGGTCGATGTCGTTCCACCTACAGAGGCGGTG